CTAACACTGTTACTCTTGCTGCCACAAAAAGGGGCAGACAGTGCAGAAAGTCTAGAGAGGTAGGGCTGAAAAAGCAGACCCGGGTGTTACACAGTCCCTGATTCACACTTTAAGTATCACCATTGGTTTATGTACTTGACAGAGTTTGTCTATTTGCCTTTTTAAATTATTTATTTATTTACGACATTTCTACCCCGCCTTTCTCACCCCAGAAGGTACTCAAGGTGGCTTTACAGACACAAGCGATTTGATGTCTTAAAACACAATCAACATTTAAATAAATATTAAAATAAAATTTAAAAGTACCGCATATTCCGGCGTATTAGACAAGTTTTTAACCCTGGAAAATCTTATGAAAAGTCGAGAGCTGTCTAATACGCCAGGTATAAAATAATAATAATAATAATAATAATAATAATAATAATAAGTAAAAGAAAAGAATAAAATCCAACTCCCTTAGTGGCGCGGACTGAGGAGGGAGGGAGGAGGAGGAGGAGGAAGACAGAGGGAGGGCACGGGGAGGAGGAATGGCAGGCGCATTGCCACGGAGACCGGCCGGGGATGATTGCCCGCTGGGCTGTCCCCATAGCTCCCCCTCTCCCTGCTCTACTTTCAAGACCCTCCTCCGCCCCACTGCTCATCTCCTCCGAAGACCACTGGGCTCCCCTAGGCCCAAGGAAGTGCCTCTGGATGACGATGCCCAGCAGCCCCAGCAGTGACGTGCCTGGATTGTGCTAGCTGAGGCACTCTGGGAGCCGTAGTTCCCTGACCTCACAACCTCTGAGGATGCCTGCCACAGATGCAGGTGAAACGTCAGGAGATAATGCTTGTAGAACATGGTCATACAGCCCGAAAAACCTACAACAACCCAGTGATTCCAGCCATGAAAGCCTTCGACAATACATTGACAAAATATGTCCTCTCTAGGCATTTCCTAGGTTTTCTTGCTGTGTAAACTATGTACTTTTACAACTAGCTTGTTTTCTCTGTCCGACTTCACACAGTATTCATCACCACAATCCCATGTGTTTTTATGCCTCTTGCAAAGAAATTCCCTTGAACTTACAACAATTCAGCTGGGGGTGAAGGGATATCATTAACCTACAGAAGCATGTTAAATTCTCTGCATTCATTTGAGAATGTGGCAATGAATAAGACTTAGGAGCTTTCAAGTCCTACATCCTATCATTTTCAATGACCACAAAGGAAAGAACATGATGAGAAATTTTCTGCACTCCTCCGCCCCTTTAGAGATCAGACGAAGCATTCAATTAGAAAAGTGGCAAACTTATTTACTACTCTGGGAGAGTATCTCTAAAAACACATTTAGATGTTCTTTTCAACAAAATAATATTTTAGATGTTTCTATAGAGTGTCTTTTTTTCTGGAGATGAAAGGGAGGGAAAGGAATGAGAAGGTCTACTTTGGATTTTCACTGTCTTTGGTATCATATTTCCCCCAGCATAGCTTCATTTCTAAGATGCTCAGAACTAAGTTCTGAGAAGCTACTGGCTCAGGAAAAAAATATTATGTTACATCCTATTAAGAGTTTGGGGGAGAGTGCTATAACAGTTGTTAGACAAACAAATGCAATGGCTGAAATCTAGAGAAATTCCTCACCACTATGTGTTTGGAGGTTTACTTTGTTTCCTTTTTCAATTTTTCTTTCTATTTTTTTTTCATTCTGCTCACCTCCCTTTTCATTTTGGAGGCACATTACACATTGTGTACATAATACACAAAGATGCCAGAGGTGCACTGTATTTTTCTCCCAAAGGTTTTTAAACAATGGAAAGAGATGGCAGATGCTACAAACAAACAGAGATGGGACACTTAATTCTTCCCCACTAACCATTTCCCCTCTTCATATTATCCCCCTTTGCCTGTAATTTTCATTACATACATCCACACAACCAACTCCCCATGCTGCAAAAATACTGTTACATGCAGCTACTGATTTTGCTTTAAGACATATTTTAGCACTTGTAAAGTCCAGGGAATGGAAAGGAAATATACAGCCAGAAAGGTAGAAACAAGGGGGCACTGGACAATTGATGACTTGGATGAAAAGTGGCATCCCATGTGGGAACTGGTATTTGAAATCCTTGATAAGGTCATCTTTAGTTTATCAGAAGTTTGAAGTTTTCTGGCTGTTGCTGGTTCCACCTCTCATGGGTTGTGTGAAGGAAAGAATTTGAGGAACTTGATGCTTTTTTGTGTCAGAAGTGACTTGAGATAACTGCAAGTTGTTTCTGGTGTGAGATAATTGGCCATCTGCAGAGATGTTGCCCAGGGGACGCACAGATGTGATAGCATCCTGTGGGAGGCTTCTCTCATGTCCCATAAGATGCTAATAATGGTAGTTTCCCGGCCTGTATGAGGATAGTGGCCTGTGCTGGTGAGACAATTTATGTTAATCAGTCTGAATAGTTTCCAGGAAGAGGACAAAAGAGGGCAATGGGCATCTTCTGTGACCTTTGGTTTGCTCCATTGTTAGGTGTATGGAGGCATTTTAGGAGATTATGGTGATGTAGGGCATTGTTCCCTGGAGTCCAACATGTGGTGAAGCACAATTCCAGTGAAATTCATGGAAGGTTACTTTTTTAGACAATTGGAAATTGTTAGGTGGCTGGCTACATTTTTCAATATATTTCAGACTCTGTAGATGGCAGTGCACGTAGTAGTCCATACAGGGAGATGTGATGAGACAAATAGCCTGGACCCAAACCGCTTAGGGCTTTATAGGTAACAACCAGCACTTTGTATTTAGGCCCAAAACGGACCAGCAACCAGTGGAGCTGTCGCAGCATGGGAATTATTACCTCAAGATACAGGGCTCCAGTTAGCAATTTAGCTGCCGATTTCTACACAGTTTCTGAACTATCCTCAAAGGCAGCCCCACATAGAGGACATTACAGTAGTCCAAACAGGATGTGACTAAGGTGTGGACTACCATGGCCAAGTCAGGTGTCTCAAGGTATGGCACAGCTGGCACACAGCTGACACACAGCGGCCTACTCGCTGCTCCTCCCTTGGCAGGCTGCCCTGGCACTCCATGCAGTCATGCCGGCCACATGACCTTGGAGGTGTCTACGGACAACGGCGGCTCTTCGACTTAGAAATGCAGATGAGCACCACACTCCAGAGTCAGACATGACTGGACTTCATGTCAGAGGAAAACCTTTAACTAGGAAAATTGTGGAAGATCCAGGGTGGGAGAAAGAACTCTTGTCTGTTGGAGGTAGGTATGAATGTTACAATTGGCCACCTTGATTACCATTTCATAGCATGACAGTTTTTAGGGTGATTAACTGGCCCTGATTGTTTCTTGTCTGGAGTTCCCCTGTGTTTGAGTGTTGTTCTTTATTTACAGTTATAATTTTAGAGTTTTTTTAATACTGGTAGCCAGATTTTGTTCAGACTAGAAATAGGAAGATTTCCCATTCTCTGCTCCTGGAATTACTGCCTAAAGAGGGCTAGAAAGAACCCCCTCTAAGGGCCCTTCATCACAGCAAAATAAGATATGTGCAATGTGCATAGGATTTTTTTATTGATTTTTTTTTAAAAAAAAACTATAGTCCGGCCCTCCAACGGTCTGAGGGACAGTGAACTAGCCCCCCGGTTTAAAAAGTTTGAGGACCCCTGGCATATATTCACCCAAGGAAGCCGAGGCAGACTAAATAGGATACGGATCTGGACCAAACTTGGCACACAGAACCCTGGTGACCAATTGAACATAGTAGAGGGGTATTGGGGGGGAGGGGGGGGGCTGACCTTGGAACCTGGGACTTATAGTTCACCCTGAACCCATCTGACAACGAATCTTGCCACACAAACCCAACATGGCCAATATGGCTGGGATTTGGGAGTGACTGACTCACAATTTTTGGAAATTGCAGTTCACCCACATCCTTACATATTTTCTAATAAAGCGTTACACGTTACGAAACCTTCCCCAAACAAGCATTGCCTTTTTCAAATAACCCAGGCATCGCCGGGTCTCCAATCTAGTAATAAATAAAGTGAAGGGTGGCATTATCCCTTACCCAAAATGTTTTGGATTTCAGATTTTTAAAAATTATATATATATAATCTGAAATCCAAAACATTTTGGGTAAGGGATAATGCTGCCCTTCACTTTTGCCTTCTAGGAAAAAACACTTTTTCTTTGATAGTATGATAGTTCCAATGTGGAACTGATGCAGTTTGACACTAAGCTACTCCAAGTCCCCTTGGGGAGAGGGGGTGGGATATAAATAAAGCTTTATTATAATATAATGGAGCCCCCTACTGGCTGTTAGGAATTGTGGGAATTGAAGTCCAAAACACCTGGAGGGCCGAAGTTTGCCCATGCCTGAGCTAAATTCCCTAGGAGTGATAGACTTGTCCTGACAGCCTAAACCAGGGGTCCTCAAACTAAGGCCCGAGGGCCGGATATGGCCCTCCAAGGTCATTTACCCGGCCCTCACTCAGGGTCAACCTAAGTCTGAAACGACTTGAAAGCACACAACAGCAGCAACAATCCTATCTCATGGGTCAAAAGCAGGCCCACACTTCCCATTGAAATACTAATAGTTTATATTTGTTTAAATTGTTCTTCATTTTAGTTATTGTATTGTTTTTAAGTGTTTTTTTGCACGACAAATAAGATATGTGCAGTGTGCATAGGAATTCATTCATGGTTTTTTTTTTCAAATTATAATCTGGCCCTCTAACAGTTTGAGGGACTGTGACCTGGCCCTCTGTTCAAAATGTTTGAGGACCAATGGCCTAAATTGCCATGGTGTGGTCCCCTTTCACTGGCATCCTGGGGCTTGTAGTTCAGCGAGGCCCGAGCGCTCGTTAGCTGAGACTCAAAATTCCTCTACATTAAACTACCAATCCCAGAACCCCGCGCGGCAAAGTCGTGGCAGGCAGCTCCAATAACATCTAGCGCTGCCTAAAGGCCAGAGCAAGCCTCCTCCTCTTCCCCCTCCCCTCTGGACACGCCATCACTGAGGGCGGCGGAGGAGCGTGACGTCGCTCCCGGAAATGAGGAAGCGGCGGCGGCAGCAGCAGCGGTAACAGCAACAAGCAGCTGCCCCCAGTTTCCACGGCTTGCCTGCCTACGGGAGCCGCGAGGGGCCTGGCCCCGGAGAACTCGAAGGGAGACCCGGTGGAATCCTTCCTCGCCTTTTCCTCCCCGGCATCGGCGGCGTTGAGGGGAAGCAATGCGGCTCCGCTGGCGAGGCGCGATCGTCCCGCCTCAGTGCCCCTCTCCTCTCCCCACCGCCTAGGGGCGCCCACAAAGCCCCCCCCTCCTTCTAAAGTCAAGGATGAGGCTGGCCCAGCCCCCCCGCCGGTGCCCAGCTCTGGTACGTGACCATGCCTCTTACGGCTCGGTGCAATGTCTCTGTGGGATGCCTGCTCATTGGCTGTGACCAACTGCCCGTGTTAAATATACTACTGCTGCTGCTAAAATATAATATTATAATATTCTTGCCCCCCCCCTCGATCTATGGCAATCCTCCTGTTCAGATATATGTGTTCCTCCGAGGCTGAGAAAGTGTGACTTGCGCAGGGCCAGCCCATTGGGTGAATGCTGGACACTGCTGAATTAATGCAGTCCAGGCCTCCGGTGGCACAGCGAGTTAAACCGCTGGGCTGCTGAACTTACTGACCGAATGGTTGGTGGTTCGGATCCGGGGAGCGGGGTGAGCTCCCGTCTGTCAGCTCCAGCTTCCCATGCGGGGACATAAGAGAAGCCTCCCACAGGATGGTAAATCATTTAGGCATTCCCTGGGCAACGTTCTTGCAGACGGCCAACTCTCTCATACCAGAAGGTTGGCGGTTGCAATCCGCAGGATGGGATGAGCTCCCACTGTTAGGCCCAGCTTCTGTCAACCTAGCAATTCAAAAATATGCAAAAAATGTGAGTAGATCAATTGGGACCACTGGAAGGTAACAGCGCTCCATTCAGTCATGCAGGCTACATGACCTAGGAAGTGTCTACAGACAACACCGGCTCTTCTGCTTAGAAATGGAGAAGAGCACACACACACACACACACACCCCAGAGTCAGACACAACTAAACTAAATGTCAGGGGGGAACCTTTGCCTTTACCTAACCCATCTGTGGTCCTTATTTTTGTTATAATTAATTATTTTATTCATAATTGTCTATTCTAGCATTTGAATTCCTGTATATGCACTATACTTGGAGCCCCTGTTTTGTTTTCCGTTTTTTCGTGTCAGGAGTGATTTGAGAAACTGCAAGTTGTTTCTGGTGTGAGAGAATTGGCCGTCTGCAAGGACATTCCTCAGGGGACACCTGGTTATTTGATGTTTTACCATCCTTGTGGGAGGCTTCTCTTATATCCCCTGATAGAGGAAGCTCACCCACGCTCGAAACTATGACCTATTGGTCTGCAGTCCTGCCGGTACAAGCGTTTAACCCATTGTGCCACCGGAGGCTCCCTGATAGCGCAGCGGGTTAAACCGCAGAGCTGCTGAACTTCCTGACTGAAAGGTTGGCAGTTCAAATCCAGGGACTCCTGCTGTTAGGCCCAGCTTCTGCCAGCCTGGCAGTTCGAAAACATGCAACTGTGAGTAGATCAATAGGTACAGCTCCAGCAGGAAGGTAATGGCATTCTGCAGTCATGCTGGCCACATGATCTTGGAGGGGCCAACGGATGACGCCAGCTCTTCAGCTTAGAAATGGGGATGAACACCACCTTTCAAAGTCAGACACGACTAGACTTAATGTCAGGGCAAACCTTTACCTTAGGCCGCTTTAGCTGCCATGGCTCAAGGCTGTGGAATCATGGGAGTTGTAATTTGACAACTTTCACTTTCTCTACCAAAGAGGGCTTGTGCTTCCTCGAACTACAAATCCCAAGGTTTCCATAGCATTTCTTTTTTGTATAATGTAGTGCAACCATAGTGTAATATACACAAATGAGCTTGGACTATGATTGCAGGATGAGGTGCTATCTTTTGAACAGTTAATAACTGTATTTATAGGATTTCTTCTCTGATTTTAATGTGTTGTATGCATGCTTTTATGTTTCAATGTGGCATTGAACTATTGTCAGACTGGAAGCCAAGCTGAGTCCCCTCTTGTCTGCATCTCTCTCTTCTTTCACAGGGTGAGATTTGGCACCCTACTTCTTCCTCTCCTTCTCCTTCACATTTCCCTAAATCTTCCCATTTCCCTAAATCTGCCATCCTAAAAAAAATCAGAATTGGGAATTTTGTGCCAATTTTGAGTCCATGTTTTTTGAGCAGGGCCTTTTTGTCAAGAGAAAGGCCAAAAGGAAAAGCCTTTCTTTTGACAAAGGGAAAGGCCAGCCTGGGATGCTTTGTGCTTAACCATTTTTTCCTGGATGTGTGTTGTTAGAAAAACTCTTTATGCTTTCTTTCTTTCTTTCTTTCTTTCTTTCTTTCTTTCTTTCTTTCTTTCTTAAATGTGCATTGATTACAGTGAAATACAATAGGCCTTGGTATCTCCACTGGGGATTGTTTCCAGGGCCCTTCCAATGATACCAAAATCCATGTATTCTCAAGCCCCAGTATATACAGTGACATAGTAAAATAACATCTCTTATGGAAAAAGGGAATATCAAAATTTGTTTTTTGGTAGGGAAATATTTTCAAGGCATGGATGGTTTAATTTGTGAATACAGAATTCATAGATACGAATGACCAGTTATAATGTATTTGCATCTCTTCCCTTTTATTTTCTTTTTATTTTATGCTCAAATGAAATATTTTGGAGGAGAACATTTTGTTTCTAATGTCTTTTTAAAAGGAACAACAGTGTAAAATCCTTGAAATCTCTTTAGAATGAAACTCATCGGACAAATGGCAAAAGGGTGCATCTATACTGTAGAAAGTTTGACACCACTTTAACTGCCATGGGCTATTTATTTATCGTGTCATCAGCAACCATTGTATTACAATTCTAACAGAGCAAAACAAACACACAGATTAAAAAGAAAAAGAAAAAAACACACAGATTTTGCAAATTTGGTAGTTGGTTAAATGTCCTTTGACCAGTATCTGGCCACTTGGAATGCCTCTGGTGTTGCTGCAAGAAGGTCTTCCATTGTGCATGTGGCAGGGCTCAGGGTGCATTGCAGCAGGTGGTCAGTGGTTTGTTCTTCTCCGCACTCGCATGTTGTGGATTCCACTTTGTGGCCCCATTTCCTAAGATTGGCTCTGCATCTCGTGGTGCCAGAGCGCAGTCTGTTCATGGGCTCAATGTTATGGAACCTGTAAGTCAGTGGATCTCCAGAAGTTTTGGCCTTCAATTCCCAGGAATCCTAACAGCTGGTATATTGGCTGGGATTTCTGGGAATTGTAGACCAAAAAAAGTCACTTTGAGACCCACAGGTTGAGAACCACTGCTGTAAATTATACTTTGATAAGGCACTAGCACTGTTGGGCATAGAAGGATTAAGCCCTTGTAAAACTGCAACTCCCATGATTCTACAGTATTGAGCCGTACGTATCTTTTATAGAAATAAAATTTAATATGTGTAATTGTGGTATTTTTACAATGTTTATGTGTTTTGATTATTCCATAACCCGCCTCAAGAAAGAAGGAGTGGCGGGTAAGAAATAAAATTATTATTATTATTATTATTATTATTATTATTATTATTACTAAGCTATTGCAGTTAAAGTAGTGTCAAAATGCACTCTTTCTACAGTACAGACACACCCTTAATTTCCAGGTCCTTTTCTTGTACTAACTTCCCCTCTTAGAAAAATGCACCAAAATCCAAGTCAAACGTATCGATTAGAAACAGTAATAATAATAATAATAATAATAATAATAATATTTCTTGCCTGCCTCTCCTAACTGTTCAAGGCGAGTTCCAACATTACTAAAACACACATTCTCCTAAAAGCATACTTTAAAATATACATATTAAAACATATTTCCTCAAAATACATATTAAAAGCGGAAATTAAACATAAGGTGCAAGTTAAAATTCATCATTAATGTCTGGGTAGTAGCTGCTATCAAGTGCAGCTTTTGCCTTTCGTGAAACCAGCTTGCTGTGGAATCATACATGGGTCTATTTTTCCATAATTCTATGCAAAATAAGTCTCTTCAGAACTTTGTAAAGATGGCATAACAAAGATATTTGTCTATAGCTTTTTGGATCATTACTGTCTGCCTGGTTTCAAATGGCTACAACTCTTACTTTCCTCCAGGTTTTATGGATCTGAGAGGATGCAATGAAGTTGTTTAGCAATTTCAGCAGTCAGCACCTTGCTTTTGGGCCAAAGTTCTTAATTTTTTCCATCTGTAGATCGTCTAGGCCAGATGTTTTGCCATTTTTAGATTTATTAAGAATCAATTCCAGTTCAGTAGATGTAAAAGGTTCATGAAGTTGTTCGCATTATCTTGGTTGTCTGATTATTCGTTTGCTTCCTAGTTTGGTGGCAAGGTTGGGTTTCCCATTCCTCAGAAGTTGATGCGTTATCTGATCTGCCTTTATGTTGGCATGGGTATTAGTTTATGAGGGATCATTGCTCAACCGTCTTAATAGTCTCCACGCCTACTGACTGCTCATATCGACTTCTGTTATCAGCTTTATCCACTGTTCTTTCTTGGCTTCAGAAATGGAAGTAAATGAATAAATAAATAAATAAATAAATAAAAAGCTACCATGAAATTGCTCCTGTAGTAATGGGACTAAAAAATGATTACACAACCCAGAAAAAAAATCTTGGTGTATTGGCTTCTAGGCCTGTTCCTGATTCTGAAAAGTGCGTTGGATAGACTGCATCAGCCCTTCTTTCTTACTTATTTATTTACAATATTTATATCCCATCTTTCTTGAACCCGAAGGTGACTCAAGGTGGCTTCCAACCAGGCAGCAATTTGATGCCTAACAGTATACAATTAAAATGTCATTTAAACAGAATTAAAAATACATTCAAAAATATTTCTTTCTTAGATATGGTTATGATTTTCTAGGATGAGCAAATGGAAACTGGTAGATGGCATATGTTCTATATCTCAAAAACTAGAGCTGATAGGCAGAAACTGGTGCCATTTTTGTAATCAGCAGTATAACCTGCTGAGGCACCAAAATGTGTGTTGGCAGTGCTATTGATATAGCTGGGCTTCATGTTAAACAAAACATATGAGGAGGAGGAGTGACAACTCTTGAGATTGAAATAATCCTTTGAAGTTTGAAGGCCCAGTGTGGTCTTTCCTAGACAATCAGGGACTTAGAAGTAAAATTTTGTTTATTTACTTTATATATATCCTGCTATTCTCCTATTAGCAGGATATATATGAAGTAGAGACTAGACTGGAATGACATGTCACATTTTTCTGGTCTGCAAATGCAG